ATGTTTGTTGAAGAGCTAGAAAGCTGAAATTTGGTATGTAGGTCCGCGCCGATCACCCAAGATCACAAGCTATGGCGGATATATCTCCGCCCNAGCACAAGTCTCTAGTACTTTTTACGAATTGGTGGCGACGTGGGCATTGTATCCAAAACCTGTAAATTACAAAATGTTTGTATTCATTATATGTATACACACAGTAAATCTGAAGTATCCAGGACTAAAAGTGTTCAAATTGGGCTGAAAAAAAAAAATGAATTTTCGGATTTTTTCTCGATAAAAAAGTTATCGGATGAGTATGGTACACACGAGTATGCATGGCAAATTTCAGCTCTTATAACTTCTGAGATCAACGCACTCATACGGACGGACGGACAGACGGACAGACAGGCGTACAGGGCTAAATCAACTCAGTTCGTTGCCCTGATCAAGAATATATATACTTTATGGGGTCTGCCACGCCTCCTTCTGCCTGTTACATACATTTCAACAAAACCATTATACCCTGATTTCCCATTGAAAATGGGTGCAGGGTATACAAATTCTTACAGATGTTCTGAAAATGAAATTCTTAAACATATTGTTACGTTCTACTTACGAAATTAATATTTACAGAACGACTTAAAATCTTGTTTATGATTATTATTTGTACTCCAAACGCCCTGATAAGGATTCCTGGATAGTTGGAAGTCGTCTACATCTTTTACTGGTTTTCGATAATGTTTTCAATCGATAACAAAATAACGGGGTCATTTTTCGATTTTCGAAGCAAAACTCGATATCCGTGGTATATATACTCAGCTCGTCACGCCTATTAAGAATATATATACTTTGTGGGGTCTATCAGGCCTCCTTCTGCCTTATACATACATTTATCAGAACCATTATACCCTCATTTTCCATTTTCAGTGGGTTCAGGGTATAACAAATTAAATCAAAAATAGTTTTTCAGATGAAACGAATATTAATTGAAATGCGTTGTCCCCAGGTAGACCTCTTTAATTTGCAGCATGTCTCTGTAAAGGACAAACAGTTTCAGCACACAACGCAAGGAAAATAAAATAATATAATGTTGATTTAATAAAAAACGAGGGAAATTCAAACTGTGTTACATATCTAGTCCGACCGATCGATCACATATATCGCATGTAAATATAAACATAATTGCGCAAAAATTGAAACAAATAAATCAAACAAAAACGCGCATCCCACATAGCTCCCATGCAAACAAAGCGATGCTCCACATGCGGCAGCGGCAATGAAAACTGCAATTGCGAGTTTTCCGATTGGAGATATAATTATGAAAAGCGCTGCTGCCATAGAAATTGTAATTGAAATGCGAATTCGGTTTGCTTTTCTCTTTGTTAGTGTATTCAGCTTGAAAGCAGTGAAGACAGAGAGGGACAGAGAGGAAGAGAGAGCGATAGATAGCGAAGCGAACTAAAAAACGTGGCTCACATATAAAATCAATTTAATTAATATACATATCGAAATCAGAAAACAGCTGAAATGTCGGCAATAAAAACGAGCAAAAGAAAACAAAATAGGAATAGTTAAATGAAGTTGCAGCTCTGGCAAATTAAACAACTAAGAACGTTACAGTCGGGCGTTACCGACTGCGGAACACTCATTCATTCATCCCATCAACAATTTAGTAGTTAAGTTTCGCTCTAATACTGTAGAATATACAGGTTTTTCAGATTTTTCACGCCCCTACTGGGCGTAGACACCTGATTTTTGGTCAGTTCTTAGAACGAGATAACGGTACCTCACCTGCAAAATTTGAGTACTTACGCTAAAAAAAATGTGCAAATTAAAGCGTATTTTTTGAAATACCCCGCCCCTAAAGAGGCGTAAAAATTATTTTTGGGTCATCAATAGAAGAAGTTACTAGTACCTTAATTATCTAGCTTGCTATTATACTTTAGGAGATATAAACTTTTGCGGCTTGCCACAAATATAAAATTTTAGGTCCCTGGCATCAATAGTGTCCAAGGAAAGTAGGATTTAAAAAATCACTATATCTTCAGGTCCGATTTGCCACCCCCTAATATATAATATAATGTCAGTAGACTTTATAGAATCATTACATTAGCTTACGTGCTAAATGTCAGCGCTCTAGCTGTAAAACTCTTGGATATACAGTTTTATCCGATTTGCCACGCCCCCAATGGGCGTATATATATCCGCCATAGCTCGTGATCTTGTGTGGTCGGTGCGGATCTACATTCTAAATTTCAGCTTTCTAATTATCAATATGATTTCTGTCATATCGGAAAATTCATTTTCTGATTTGCTACGCCCCTAGTGGGCGGGTCGAAAAAATTTTAGCACTTTTCAAATCGGAGATATACACGAGTATGTGTTCCAAATTTCAAGTGTCTAGCTTCAATAGTGCTGAAAAAACTGCGTTCATACGGACAGACAGCAAGACAGACATTGCTTAACCAATATACATACTAATTCACTTTCGTGAATGAGTATAATAATTCACTTTCGTGAATGAGTATAATAATTCACTTTCGTGAATGAGTATAAGCTGAGAAGAGCAACCATGTCCAGTCTTTTTCCATATGCTTGGAATTATCCGAACTTTTCCCAGAGTTAGAAAGTAAAACTATTCAATAATATGAAAACCAAAAATTCTCCTTTTTAAATAATTAGTGATTACGTTCTTAATAAGGGCTATTAATATAATAAATAATACATTATACTCACATTTCAAGGATTTTGTTTTTCGTAGAAGTAAAACATAAATTTTCTTAGTTTTTGATGTTTGCTTTATTTTCTATGCAGTTAGATTTCTTTTGATTATTATAATACATTCTTCGAATTTTCTACTTTTGCACCGGGCCACAGCTACTTCACTTGCTTTTCTGCACACAACGTTTCATTAGAAAATACTTACATTTACTTTTTATTACCAAGTGATACCCTGTCCCAGAAAGGGACACATGTCGAAATTTTGGTTATTTGGTTATTGCTAAACTTTGAGTATTAGGCTCATGCTTATAATATTTTCAGAATATCTTGGATTTTTTATGATTCTGATAATGACTTCAAGTTCTTTAAATATTATTAAATAAATGAGATATATATATATGGAATTAAAGGAAACGACAAAACCCAAAGGCCGAGTCAATAATAAACTTCAAAGTCTGGCTACAGGGTATTACCTGTTAGTTCATTTTATAGTACTTTTAATTGTTCTGTTCTTTTAATGGTTGCTATTAAATTTGTTTTCTGATTTCAGTTTAGTAATCGAGTTTTAGTTTGTATTTGCAGTAATTTTCGATTGCCGCCAAATGCTTCCTAATTGTACAAACATTTCCATTTCCATTTCCATTCATGTAATTAATTTAATACAAGCTTAATTTAATGAATTAATTGTAATTTGATGCCCCTCTACGCAGCGCACATGCTTGACTTGTTCTGCTTGCTTTTTTAAAATGATTCTAGTTGGAAACTATTTATATTTACTCTACCGTTCGCTAGAAAGAAGCTCAGTGCGTGTCCTCCACGAATGATTTTATATTTTCTTGTATTTTCTATGTTTATTCTTTGATGTTTTTCTCTTTTTAGTTCATTATTTAAGTTTGAAGTACGGCCCTAAGATAAGCGCTGATAAATATGCTACACACCAAGACGCATTCACCTAGACACATAGACATCAACAACATTAAATTGCACGCGTGTGCCTGTATGTGTGTATGTACCATGGGAGTTGTATAATAGAAAACATTTTGATTCTGTATATTTAGAAAAATAATAATTAGTTGTATAGGTGCTACGTGGTTAAATTTTTGGACTTGGGACTGTTCAAATATTTGCATTCTATTTTCCGTTTTTGGCAATTTGTTTCACATTTATTAATATAATTTATTTGTGTTTCTTTGCAGGTACCTGATACTTGAATATCAATTACTGGGACAGGCTGTGGGTAAGAGCAAATGATAGCGCTTTTATTATAGGCCTTGTATAATAATATTTGTATAAATAAATGTGTATTTTTTCATATATATGTATATATATATATTTTTGATTTGGATTTGTTTTTCTCTTTGGTTTCATCTGCGTGTAAAAGCGCCTAAAAGCGAGCAATGCCCAACAGCAAAAAATGTTAGTGATTGAGTTCCTAGCATATATACATATATATGGTATATATATCTAAACACACCGATACAAGTATGGCAAAAACTTTGAGTTCACTTCAAGCCTACACACACATAAATAGTTAATCATATTAATAGCTTATATAGGTATATATCATATATATAATCTATCTTGTAAATATTTTTGTTATTTTGTTCATCAAAGTTCTTATTAATGTCTAGCACTTAGCCTAGCTGTAGCTTTATTTTTGTCTTAAATAGCTTTGGTTTACGTTTTTCTTTTACCATTTGTTTTTAACACTTAGGGTTTTGGCAATTGGAGTTTCGGCCTTGTTTGGCGTGAGCGCCATTTGTTGCGCCGAAAGACTCCAATTATTGGACGAATTGTTGATATACGTTGCGGTTTATGCTCAAAAAGTGAGAGAGATAGAGACAGAAATAGAGTATGTGAGAGTGTGTGTTTGTGAAAATTTTGACAGATTTGTCTTGAGTAGAGTATAACGTGGAGTAAAGAGCTAGAGACCAATAGCACTTTTTCGTGGAATCAGAAATGTTTCAAATATAAAAACATAGTATGTATGCTAGGAAATCTAAAAGTAAATATAAATTAAAATTTGTATTTAATTGTTTATGAATATTTCCTGTTACATGAAATTTTAATTCAATTAATGAGCATTAAATAAGCCTTAAAAATAGATCTAAAATGGTTACAATGAAATTTCGTATTTCAAATAAAGTGTGAACCGAAAAACTGTGTTGGCCTTAATGCCATGTGATGCCGGTATTAATTGATGATGATAATGAAAATAACAGAAAAATTTGTTTGTTAAGCTGCGCATATTTTAAGCTTAAAGGCAATACGCTTGAACATGGTGGTTTACGTAGTTGAGAGAAACATGGACATACAATCACAAATACTTACACAAAAAAGCTCATGCACTCACACACACAAACTCTACTTGGCACACAATCATATGCTTCGACAAGCACAAGTTTCAATTTGTTGCACTTTTTAAGCATTAAGTAGCTGCCCTGGCTTTAATGGAATGTGTGTTTGTAAGTGTGTGTGAGTGAGTGTGCAATGCAATGTGTGTGTATTTGTGCGTGTGCGTTGGCCGGCAAAGCGGTTTAGTTGTATTTTAGCTTTTAAAAGCAGCTAGTATTTGTATTTTGCAGTTATTTGTTTTCGGCTTTAGTTCTACCCTTGCATTGGTCCTTTCGACATGACCAAGATTCGCGATAAATGTAATAAAATGAAATTCCTGCAAGGGTATTCCGTCTTCGGTGTACCGAAGCATACTGCTTTTGAATATTTTGATTTTATGTTACACTGCTTAATGTTTTAAAGTTTTGTTTTTTGTTTTGTTCAGTTTCGTTGTTTGCACAACATCGAAAGCACACGAATTAAGCACGTTTAGAGCATTTAGTTAAAATTACAAATTACGCACTAGTACACATATAGAAATTGTTATAGCAAAAATAAAAAATGTGGCGACAAAGTGCCCAGCGCTTGCGGTTTCTACAAGTTCAATATTTTTACGCAGCGCTGAAAAGTATGCTGCACTTTTCGTATTGCATTTTTTCTGCTATCACGTTGGCCACAGCATTGCGAAATTTCACTACTTAATGGCTAGGTTAGAGAATAGAGAGTATGCACAGTGTATACTCAACAATGTTGCTACGTACTAAGTGGGCGTGGCTAGAGGGATCACTGGGGGCCTGGATGCCAGGATGCCTATGAGTTGGTGAGCTTGGACGGCGGTGGCGGCCATTGCCGCTTGATAACAGCAAAGTGCGTCATTTGAAAGGTGTTTGTCAGCTGGCAGCGACGCTCGACGAATCCAGTTAGACAGTAGCCCATGTTGTAGTCCTCCATCGATATGTTCGATGTCAGATACAGCTTGAACTCATCATTGTATGCCAACTGTGACTTCGACTTTGACTGCGAACTACTATTTGGGCTAGCAGTAGCGGCTCCTCCTCCTCTTCCTCCTCCTCCTCGAGATATGGCTTCTGCTGCTGCTCCGACTGCTGCCGCTGCCGTTGCGGCTGCTGTTGTCCCTCCAGCCGTTGTTGGTGGCGTTGTTGTTGCTGTCATTGTTGCGACTGTTGCAGCACCGCTTGTCGCTGTTATTGACGGCCTGCGAAAGTGTCCGGCAATCAGCAGAGAGCCCTGCTGGTCCATGGGCAGCATCCTGGCCTTGGTCGCCTGCCGCTGCGTGCCAGCGCACTCTACAATGCGACAACGGTTCGGCTGCCACCAGCAGGGCGTGATGGTCCAGTAACTGGATGAGGCGGTGCGCGCCCAGCCCTCCTCCGGATACAGCAATATCTGTGTGCGAATGCAAAGCAAAGAGAAATCGAGTGAGATTTTAGCCAGCACCAATTGCAAATTGGTTTTGTGTATCGCTGCTATCTCTGCCGTAATTGAAAATCGTAATTAAAATGTGCAAACTGCCCCACATTTGCATCCGCAGCAACTACAGTAGCCTTGGGTCATTGTTTAACTAGCAACTAAACGAAATTTATGTCCGCCACTAAGTGCCAGTCATTAGTTGTATGGATATTTCCATGGGGCATTCGTTCTGCTCTACCCGAAGGATTGGTTAAAAAAGTTGTGTGAAATGTTTGAATGTAATAATGCGATTCAGCAATAGTTGATATTAAATTCGTTTCAAGGATATGGCTAAATATCAATATACTTATAGCTAGGTATCGATAGTAATAAAAAATGCCATCGATAATAAAATGAGAATATTGTTAGCAGAAGACGAGATGCGAGATCGCGAATTTTAGGCGAAGCAGGTCAAAGCGAAAATTATGAAAGAATATTAATATAAATAATCTCCAACTTGATAAACCGTTGCATGAGGAATCTGTTAGCCCCAGGCTTGAAGGTCAAAAAAGCGTAATAATGATGCTCATTTGGTAAGGATCAGCATTGGTCTACTCATTTCAATTCTCAATCTAAAGATGAGGTTGCAAGGTCAGCGTTCATTTGCGTATTTTTAAAGTCCCCATTTGTTAATCCTCATCTATTTTCTCTATCGCAAAACTATTTTTCACTATGTGTATGTTCATGGTGAACAGTGGTGCCTAGATATTAGACTGTTCATGCTTGGTTTTCAAATAAATAAAATACATTTCAATTATCTGCCTGAGCTCTTGATAGCTGTGGTATAAAAACAGCTAATGATATAAAAATCGCCCTAAATTGCCTTGCTGGACTCAATCAACGGTTTCTCGTATCTCATGTATTTATTATGACTTATGCTGTGGACCACGTGTACAATTACTCATCTGGCTTTATATTTAGTTATATTTATATAAAATATAATATTTA